CAGAATGTTTCGAAAGTCTTTTTTTGGTATAGTTGACACAGACCACATAAATAAAAAAATCTCAGAAATCGATGGTTCAAATTCAATTTTCATATCTCATCTCCAGCAATTTCTGAGTTTATATCTGAGCTTTGCATGCTGTTTTAAATTTCAAAAAGAAGCGCTATCAGAAAAGTTGCGTTGTCTAAGCAAAAGTATTGTCGAAGAAATGTAAAAGATGACTATATGAAGAAAATTAAATTCTAAAAAATAAAATAAAAATTGATGATGTCATCTGCATAAAATTACGCAAAATTTGCGGCTTACGATAGAGCAGTTTCAGTCTACAATACTCCATTTGCTCTGCAGTCAATGGTATTTATTTCATTGCATCATTATTATGTATTTAGGGAACCCGGCCCATTGCTAAATTGTGCCCTTTGCGACAACCAGGTGTTGAGCAATGACAATGCTATTCATACGCATGTCAATCAACATGCAGAAGCTGGAGGATTCTTTTGCAAATTGTGCGGAGCCACGGAGACCGACAAGTACAGGATCTATGAACATATGCGAATGAAACATCCTAATAACGTAAGCCACAAAATTTCTGGATTTTTCGGGACAGGTGGTCAGAAAATTATTTTTCAGCTCGAACTGTTCGAAGATCGTCGAGACATTGTCAAGCTTTGCAACGTCATCCAAGAATGTTTTCCACGGGTTTGTCCTCGCGCCAAGAAAGACATGGCTAAGGATTTCGATAGTCTGCTGAAGTTAGTACCGTGTCCCTACCGTAATCCTACCGTTACCAACCTCCTCGTTTCCAGGCTCATCTGCGATAAGAAACTGAACGAAGTCAAGTGTGAGAAGTGTGACGCGAACGTGAAAGCGACGAAAACGGCAATGATGAAACATGCGCACAGCCATCCAGTTTACAGGTATTTTGATTTTGTTTTCTAGAGAAATTTATTTTCAAAAATTTCTCGAAATATATCAAAGATTGAACTGTAATAGATGACTATTCGAAACTTAGGCAGAAGATTGAAGAAAACTGATGCTATATGAAAACTATAAAGATGCACATTGCCACGCGTATCATCTTCTTTGCGGCGCGCTTGCGGCGCGTCATTCAAATTGGAGCGCGCTATTCGGTAGGGGTGGCTTTTTCCACGTCCACATCGCGCCATATATCCGCAAATAAATTTATACAACTTGTCCCTAAGCGAAAAGTTACTCTTAAGTATGTGAAGAGAGGGGGGATGAATGATTTTACACAAAGTCAAGGAGCGGGGCTAGTCAAATGGCCGGGGCCAGTTATATTTTACCAACCTTGATCACAGTTAGAAATTTCTAATAATTTTTTGAGAGATCAATATTTTCGATTGAATGCTTCCATAAGCTGATATGTGTCCTCTTAACCCCAAATAAAAACAATATACGTCACAGTAACCATCTGTCATTTCAGGTGTAAGGCGTGCAAATACACGTCGGACAGCGTCAAAGCACAAGAAG